ATTTATTGATGTTATGTATTTGTATTAAGAAAGAAACCCAACCTTGTGTTTTTTATTTACTGAAGCTGTGATGCTTTTATTGAGATCTAGGAATGAGTTAAATCTTTTCTGAGACAAAATCGTCTGTGACCCTGAAATGAGTCATATCATTATAAATAGGTAGAGCTATTTATGACTTTTACATAAGAGCCATGGACATACCGTATATGTACGTGAGAGAGATGATGCAAAACTGTGAGCTGCATAGTCTGAGTGGGCTGCCAGCGTCTTCATTTGACCTATAGTGGTCTTCAGGCAATTAGAACACAAACCTCATGCCACTTCCTTAAGAACAGACTTGCAGGAGCTGTCAGCTTAAAATGACACCAGGGAAAAACAGAGACCCCCTTTGAATCTCTTGCTGAAATGACTAGGGGGCTGCTTTGTCAGTTTGGTGAAACAAAAACAATGTGAATTTACAATGCATGTCATCATAAAAAAACATTCTGAGAATTAGTCTGGCAACAGGCAGCTTGGCAGCTGTTTTCTATAATGGCTGGGTCGTTGTGAGATTATAAAATGAGTGGCTACTGGTACCAGTGACCACATACTTGGCTGAGAAGCTACTATATAAACATAAATTTAAATGTGTATATACAGTATATATCAGTCAAATTCTGTATTTGCTTGTTAAGCAAAAAAAGCTTTCTTGTCTGCAGAAACATGGTCAGTCAGATGATACTGCATTTCGGTAATGCATTCTAATTTCCATTTAAATGGCTTCATTGTGACAGTTATAATTGAGGGTCCATACTGTATCTTCAAATACGCAGGCTTGAATTAGGTATTGAGATATATAGTCTTAAGAGTAACTTCATCCCCAACCCCATTCTACAGGAAAGGAATACAGATAAATCCACAACATTACTGATTTCACCCTTCTTCCTTCTACAAAGTGCTGCTCTGGGACCTTTTTATAGTGTTCCAAAGCCAAACTTAAAAAAAGAGTTTCAAAACAGAAAAACCAACTGGTCCAGTGGTGTCGATAAAGGGACGACACTGTGGCTGGCATTGCTGCCTTGCTTTTCTGGCGCCCTGGCCTTTATCTGCGTGGAGTTTGAATGCCTTGCCCATGTCTGCATGCATTTCCTGCAGGTGCTACGGTTTGATCTCACGGTTCAAAGACATACTGGTAGGTTAATTGGCTTCTGGGAAAACTGGAGCTGGTGTGAGTTTAATCTATAGTATCTCCAAATGGGGCTGTACTTGTGTGGTCTAGAACTTTGTAATAGAATTTATTTTTGTATAAAAAATGTGTTGAAATAAATTATAACTTTTAAAGATCACTAAATAATTCTTTTGATACAGTATATTTCAAGGTGAAATGAGGCAATATTCATCTGTGCCCAAAGCTGTGTTACTCATTTCTTCAGTGGGATAAACCATAACACTGAAGAATATGCATATATATGCATATACAGTACCTGACCTATATGCATATACAGTATCTGGCAGGCAATTTAAGTGAGACAAAAAAATGTTGGCTTGTTCCTACATGAAGAATTTTGTGAATCTCCCTACAAACTACCTGAATTCCCCATAGAATCATTATCTCTTTCTCCTCCTGTCAGACTTACTTAAGGAAAAAAGCAAAAAGGTTGATTGTGACTTTCTTTAAAGAGAAGTGTATTGTCCCAATGTCAGCTGGAAGAGCTCTGGCTCTGGCTTCATCTAGCAAGGATCAATAAAAGCTTTTAGTACCACACAAAAGGGTTCACAAGACAATCCTTGACTGCATGTTGCTTTCCAGGCCCTAATGTCATTATTTAAAATTCTAACACTAGCTAGATAACCTGAGGAGAGAGGCTGGACACATGCAGTTCTAAACAACTCATTTCAAACAATATAATAGTGTAAACATGTTTATTTTGCAGAACATAACAAAGACACTTAGTTCATGGAATTAATTTTGTTAATAAACCAGGATAGTGATAAGTCTTCTGAAAGTAGTCTTCATTTCAGAACTGTTTTGTCTTTAACAGAGAAGACTACAAGTTAACCTGATCCAACTATAAAAAAACTCAGTTTAAACTGTTAGAACCACATCTATGTAATGTACAGTACCAAAGAAAACCTCCTGTAAACACACACTATATACAGTATATGTGCAAAATATACAGTATAGTTATACATAATATTCTATAAAATATATCAAATTACAAACCATTGACAGCTGAGCCTAACCCTGTCAACCCCAGCTGGAGTGCATCTAAGATTGCACTTTATTTTATTGTTTCTAGTATTTGTTAATTGACCATCACTTAGAGAAAGGTTTAGGATGTGTTCTTTCTGTTAGGAATAAGTACCCTAGAAGTTATCATTATTTGTTAGAGTTAAGATGATGTCTCCCGTCTCTGTCAGTCCTATCCTGATTTCTGTTCTTGAACAGGATTAATAAACAATCATGCCAGTTGAAGTAAAAAAGATAAGACAATACTAGCAACCTTGAATTTCACATATGACTCCTAATAATGTAGGCAGCAGTAAGTGATATGGAATCATTGAGGTAATCTTAAATTACATCTGAATGATTCATAATTCTAGTGACTGGAACGCTTGGCTCCATGAATTACTGTAGCTCTGGTCTCGCAGCCATCTCTAACCTCTTAATGAGAACTTGCAGAGAACTTCAAAATCTAATTACAGGCCCCAGTACTGTGCAGTGAAATACTGGAGCTATAATTGACACTGTCCGTATCAAGCACATTGTTCAGTCAGAGCTTCAGTGGAACAGTGTATTGTAGATATCACAGAAAAGAAAGTACTTTTACAAATGATTTTACAGAATATAACATTTTAGGGAGACATTAATGCGGTTTGATTTATTTTATAATGCACTCTACAAGATTACATTTACATTTATATTTTGTAAAAATATAGGCTTGCATTTTTGTTTTATATACCTAACAATTACCATCTTTTCCATTTTTTTTATTTTAAATGGTATTCATAGATGCCATGGAAATGTTCTGTTTTACAATTCTGCCAGTTTAACACTAACAACTGAGGGCATATTTTCTTAGATTGGGGATCTTAGATTAAGACTTCTTTCTCATTTGCCTGGCTGTTCTCCTTAAAAAGTGAACAAGAGAAATGCTGTGCTGTACATCTACCAATCGGTGTCTCCTTCACCTAACAATGCCAAATTCAAACCAGGCAGGCAGTCATATATGAAGGTAGCTTTTAAAATGCATTTAAATGTTTACATTTTAAAATGTTCTCCGTGTGTCTGTGTGGATTGTCTTTGGATTTCCATCCATCTCCCAAAGACACGCCTACAGTGTGTGTCTCTAAATTGCACTAGTGTGTGAGCATGCTCTACTGTGGACCTTCCTCTACAACGTGTGTTAACATTCTGTGCCCTGTGCTACTGGAATAGGATTTGAGTTGCAGCAACCCTTACTAGGAACAAGTAATAGGTTTATTCCATGCTGAAGTGAGAAGAAAGAAAACACAACGTTTAGGCCGTGGAGCCTTCTTCAGGTGTGAGGTACTTCTTCAGGTACTAGGAATAAGCAACTTTATAGTCTGGATGTACTGTAAAATAACAGCACCTGGTACTAGTTAAAATGACTTGTTCAGTGAATTATATTTCATGGGACGTGCCCCAAAGCGTTTGGGCTTTGGGTTCATTTCCTGTGGGGGGGTCCTCTATGGTGTCTCCTGCCTGCATCTCTATCTACGCTCTGGTTCCCCCACGACTGGTTGATTAAAGTTTTTAGAAAATGTATAGATGGATTAAATGGCTGAGCTTTTTATTAGGTATCAAGGTATTTCAGCTTTATACCTAAAAAGCGCTCCTCTTCATGCTAGACACTTGGCATACATACTTAGCATGAATTTTCTGTTGCCCACTTCTGTTGCCTGTTGTCCTGATTTTGTAGTCAGTCTCTGAAATTCTTCGATTCGTTTCCATTTTAGAAAATGATTCTGTTCAAAAGTGTTCAGAGGTCACCCTGGACTTAATTGGTGGAGCAGATTCTGACTTCTCCGCCTAAGCCTCTCAGCAGTGGGGCTGCAGGCTCAGAACAGCTGCAGTCATCACGCAAGCGGATGTGCTTCAGTGGTTGATGAAGAGGATCTCTTCTCATACATAGAGTTCTTTGGGATCTTTTGGAATGAGAAGGGCTATCGAATGCCAAGCATTCTTCTTATTGATGGTGTTATTACTGTTTTTATTTTCTTCTAAAGACTGTTCTATTTTTAAAAATGAATTCGTTTAATTTTCAGTACTATTGCATTATTTACATAATGCTCAGTTAGATACTCCTGTAACCAAGTATTGTTTCTGTATGGAACAGGAACAATCTAACAGTGGTGTCTGTTATTTCATAGCTATGAGGCGGAAAATCCTTATATATGCATTGACATTTATTTAATGAACAAAATTATGCACTGCACCCCCCATAAGAAAAAAAATCACGATAGAAATTCGCCAGTGCTGTTCTCTCTTTCTCTAAATGTTTTTTTTTTTCTTGAAGGACTATCAAGAGTCTTCCCATCTGGAGCAATTTGTGACACGGTTCCTGCTGAAGGAGACGGCCAATCAGCTGCAGTCTCTCCAGAGCTCCTTAGAGTGCGCCATGGAGACCACAGCCGAGCAGACCCGACAGGAGAGGTAAGTGCCCCATTCTCACAGTCCTCTGCTGTGCCTGAACACTTCTTCACCCGTTAAGAAGGAACTCTATAAGACACTTACGAGAATAAAGGGAACAATGAAGTCAAGACTATTCTGTCCACACAACTGCCTACTGTTTTGTTCTTGTTATAAAGCAGCAGACATTGAATTCAGCCTTGGTACAGCTATCTACTCAGGTTTAGCTTTTTAGCCTGATTTTAAAACCCAGTTAAACCAGACGTCACAATGCGTCATGTTTCTCAAGCTGTTGTGTGCTGCGTTTAGGAACCTTTGAAGACCACCCTGAATGAGCTTCACTATTAAAGGCAATAGCTGGGTGAAATAGCAGACTTTGAAATATTGTTTTAGTGAGCTTATACCTTGTTTTCCTTTCAAAGAAAAAAAAAGAGTTGATACCTTTGAACTGCAGTACAGAGAGCAGAATTTTTAACTATCTTTTAACACGCTCCCTTTGTTTTAACATTTTGGTTGTTTGCAGTGCATCAGATTTGGAGGAATGAATTAATTAACTAGATGTAAATAAGGACCAGGTGCACGGCTATATGTAGCCTGCTTGCTTTGCCATCTGGGAGGTTGAAAGCATAATGAATAATCTCTGCAGCTATGAGAAAAAATGTGAAAAGATAAAGATTATGGCACAGTAAACAACTGAAAATTGTTTTGTTGTAATTATTCTCCATATGGAATTAGGGACATTATTCCTATATATTTTCATGCTGTTATTTGACATTAATGTAAAGAACCTGAGGTATGAATATCTAGATAAATGCAAGTTTTATTAGTTTGGTGGACAGATCGTCAGTCAGACTAGGGATTCAGACCTGATGTGATCTCCCTGATGGCCTTCCCTGTATTTACAAAATTGCTGTTTTCCATTCAGAGGTTAAAGATAATGCACAGGAGAAAGGGCTTCATCCAGCACAGAAAAAAAAAACACAAAGACAAATTAAGATTTAAAAAAGTGAGATGAAAAGGCCTCGTTTGCAGTGAACAATTTCCAGATTTTCACAATTTCACAGAGGAAATTTAGTCAAACATGAGTAATGACATAAATTATCTAAGGAACATTTCATAAATTCCATTCAAAGCACTTCTCAGTTTGGGTAAGATTAGGATTAACATAATCTGTGCAAATTCATAATCTGCATATTGATCGTCAACACAACACAGAAGGAAAACTCGGCACAGCTGAACTGAGTTTTCATGACCGTTCAAACTCATTTTGTCTTCCTTCCCACAATTCCAGCAGCAGGAACGATTATTTCCTTGTTGTCACAGGGTCCTGGGCTGCTTAATAAAGACTGCTTAGTTAATTAAGGAAAAAATTAAATGAACACAAAGTGGCTGTTCCTGTTTTTTGAAGGTGGCATTACTACAGTTACAGAGAGACAACTGCACATCTCTTTCAGTTATCTCCCCTTTCTTCCTTTCTCCATCTGCTACAGCTTCATGCCACACATGTTCCTTTTGTACTGTTTCACCAAAATGGTGCATTTATGCTACTTAAGCATTCATATTTTGCTTTTTGTTTGCTGCAGCAGTCTTAACAATTTTATAATACTAGTGATGGTTCTCTAATGATATTTTCTAACATCACATCTCTTTTCCAAGCTCTTAGGAATACATTAATTTTTGCAAAGCTTTTTATTCCCTATCTGTGAAGAGTATTAGGATTGGAAAATAAGCAATAGATTCCAGCTGCACATTTAGACAGTCTAAACTGCAGTAAAATGAGACTGGATTTGCTTAGACAGGCATTTTCAATTTTCCTATTGTTTACATTCTGACAAATGCAGTGAACTATAGCACTGGAAAAAAGATCATCAGTTTAACAATTTCTTTTAAATTGATTATGGGTGACAACTTAAGAACACTGACACATTTGAAATAAATATTTAAAATAAAAAAATGCTTTTTTTTCAGTTTGAGTTCATTGATTACAATGATCACATTTTATTTTAATCTCTGTATCCAATCCCCAAACTGGAAGCCACTGAGTTTGATGTGATTTTGTGTGCAAATATGAATGCTGTCACAAATCATTACGTTCTTTTGTGGTCACTGTGTTTTTAGGCCTTATTGCATTATCGGTTTGGCATTTCAATAATAAAAGCTCCTGAAAAACAACTCAAAAATAACTCAACAAAACACCCGTAGGCTTCAGAATCTAGCTGTTGCATTGGACCAGTCAGACCTTCCTTCCTGTCTGTGCCCTGAGCTAAGAAATTGTCAACAAATTCTGAATAATTACAAGGTGCAGAGGTAATATTGGACTTGATGCTCCATTAGAATGGAACAAAAATATTGAATATGTTTTCAACTACAATACTGCTCATGTTTGAAAAAATAATTAATATAAATATGCAATTCTTTTTTTTAAAACAAAGAATCCTCCTGATATTTGCAGCTACAACAGTATTTGCAGGTCTTTGTTTTCAACCAGTTGATTACTGTGTGCAAGTTTGATGTCTACTCTATCTGACATGTTTAAAATCACCAATATCTTGAACAAATTGATACACTACATCTATTTTCCATTCTGTCTGATATGATTAACCTCCGCCTCTCTCGCCGTCTCTTTGTCTCTCGCAGTATAAAAGAGGGGCTTAAAACATAGCAGGGTATTTGAGAGGCATATTGCCATTTGCAAAACCTCATTTGAATCTGATTGAAGGATCCTTTCTGTAATCGCTTTTCAGAAGGACTTTTTCTTCTGTATCTTTGCTTCTTTGGACGATATTTTGCAATATACAGTAGTGTTGTCCCTTCCATGGAGTTGTCCGCTTTGATATCAGGGTGCCATGACCCTTAGCAGCGGAGTTTGATTTCTAATGGGGGAATGACAATATGAAAAAGGAAAAGCAACAAAATAAAACATAAACTACCGAAAACAGTGGGCAGAAGACAACAGACAACTGGGGGTTTCTTTTGAGGTTGTTTATTATAATATATTTACTGTCTCCTCCTTTAAATACTTTTGTCTCCTAATACAGGACTCTCCTCCTTTTTTACTTCTTAAATAGGATTTTCCTAATAAATAGTGCTGAATAAATCATTATAATGCTGGAATAAAAACGGATATTTTCATATAAATGTATGAAAGAAAAACACACTGGAATAATATCTTTCAGGATATTTGTATTTGTATCTTCATATGTACTGTATATACTTTATATAGTATATACACACCTGAAGAAGGCTCCACGGCCGAAACGTTGTGTTTTTTTTCTTCTCTTTTCAGCATGGAACAAACCTATTACTTGTTCCATGCTGCCGCAGCTACCCACCTGAACTACTTTATATAGTGTATATAATGTATTTATTATACATATTCACATTATTATAATTACAGAATTGAACATATATAGAATTTTAAAATCTTTTTTATTTAGGAAGGTGAGTTGCATAAGCCCAAAGTAGTCAGAGCTGAACGCTGGTGTTAACACCCATACTCTTTTGAGCAGTGCATGGAATCTTTAATGATCACATAGTTAAGATGTCAGTGTAATGTTCTGACTGCAGAATGGTACATCTATTATCACAATGTTCCTGGTCATCATAATGGGGCATTGGTATAGAAATTACGTTCCAGAAGGAAGAGCGCCACCTACTGGTCCACCAGTTTACAGCAGGACATTTCAGGGGTCAGGTTTTCCTTAGAGTCTCCCATGCCCTGACCAGGCTCAGCCGTGATTATCTTCTGAGATCTAACATGAAGAGGTTACAAGGTGGTAATGTGGCGAAGATGATGTTTTGACATCAATTTAGAATGCACGGGAGAGATGGTATTTTTGAGTACCGAACGTGTAGTTCACACCTCACTCTCGCTATTTTCTCCAAGTGAGTAATTTCACAAAGATTAATTGGAAGCATCATGAGAGACTTTTGCCTGCAGGAAACTCTGGGTTCCAATTAAAAGGGGCACCACGGGACTCTGCCAGAAACAGGAGGTTGGATTTTAATGGAGTATCATGAAAGGCAAAGAGATTCACTGAGGTACAGATTCTGTCACCTGCTTAGGAAAGGTTTTGTTCTTTCGGGTTGGAATCCAACCTCAGCAATTACTTTTTAAACTCAGACCTATTTTACTTTTTTATCCAGATACCAAGAATGGGATTAGAAAAAAATTCTGGAATTTTAAACCTTAAGACCATTTTAAATCTTAAGAGGTCCCAGATTTGCTTTCTATAGAGTAATTTAATCTAACCAAAGAATGTGTCTTGGAAACAGAATAGACAATACCACATACAACAGTACCTATGGCCACTTTGGACTTTATGCATTTTAAGGCAACATATGTATTTCACTATTGGTAACGGTTATTCCTGTATAGTTGCTCAAGAAGCCATCTAAATTTTAAGTATATAAAAACCATTTAATCCCACTTTAACATAGGTGTTGGAGTTTGTCTATATTTTGCCACATCTACTTTCATGATGATACACGTTAATGATCTGTACCATATATTGTTACATATATAAATATTGATATTTAAATATAGTTTAAGATTTATATGACTAGACAGATTAAAATATGAACTTTATACAGTACCTATAAGCTTAACATCTCAATTCAACTGAAGGATTCACATATTTGCTTCCATCACAGCATCACCAGAATATTTGACAATATTATTATTGACACTTTTATTTTACTGCGTGAAAAAACATAGATCTGAAGAAATTGGGTAAATCATGTTCTATCACATTCTTCACAAAGGATCTGTCCAAAAACTGTTTACGAAAAAAATATCCAATGTATTGAAAGTCTCCATTAAAAAGGAGCACAACGGCTTGTACAGAAGGGTGCCATTGCTAAACACACGATCATGTGCTGTCCAATGGAATACAATTGATTTGCTCTGTTAAGGCAATAGCTGTGGTGAATACAGTTTTTCTTTTTCTTCTTGAATAGGCGTCAGAGTGAGAATTGCTGACAAGTACAATAAGTCACTGGGAGAAATGTGGGCCTCTCAATCCTGAGGGATATCTGTGTGCAAACTGGAGATAAAGGTGCCATCATAGAGATGAACTGTTATCTGTGTTTTATTTACAGACAAGGGCCAGAGAAGCCGGAGAAGCCTGAGGTGCTGTCAATTCAGTGGTCAGGAAAACGATCCAATCGAAGACTTCAAAGGAATAACAGCTTATCTCCAAACAACCCCCTTTTCAACATTGTCAATTCAGGTATTATTAGCTCTGCCATTCAATTCTAAAGGGCAGTCAACCAAATGTGGCATTTTGTTTTCTGCTCAGCAAAATACAGTAAGTGTGCAATAAAATACAGCCAGTGTTGTACATTAAAACACTCATATTCAGTGATAACCAAGGACAAAAAAGGGTTTATGTCCTATTGATGTTGTACATTGACACGAAAAAACTACTGTTGCCTTATCTTTCAGTTTCTGATTGATTTATAAATGGCATTAAATTAATGGACAGCAAACCATATGAAGAATGACCAGTACACTTTGAGAAAGGGAACAACTACCCTTGTGTGAATCAGAAATGTAAGTGCAGAAATCTGCAGATCTGAAATCAATGGAAACTAGATTTTCTTTCTGGTATTCTGGTGGGATTCAGCTTTCAGTTTCAAAACCCAAGTTACATTTTCTGACTGAGCTTTCTAGTCTCTAGATTTTCATTCCTTAACACATTTCTTTTATGGTGGGGTTACACTCTGCGATAATAAGTAACTGTTAACATAACAATTAATTAATGTAAACTATGCAAGGATGCAAACGGTGGGATTTGTGAGATTCCTCTAATGCAATTAAGGCCAGCAGCCATATCACCCTGCAACTCACAACTGGCAGCCCACTGAAGCTCAGCAGGTGTGAGCCTGGTCAGTACCTGGATGGGAGACCTCCTGGGAAAAACTAAGGTTGCTGCTGGAAGAGGTGTTAGTGGGGCCAGCATTGGGCGCTCACCCTGCGGTCCATGTGGGTCCTAATGCCCTAGTATAGTGATGAGGGCGCCGTCCTTCGGATGAGACATAAACCGAGGTCCTGACTCTCTGTGGTCATTAAAAATCCCAGGGCGTTTTTTCGAAAAGAGTAGGGGTGTAACCCCGGCGTCCTGGCCAAATTTCCCATTGGCCCTTACCAATCATGGCCTCCTAATAATCCCCCTCTATGAATTGTCTACATTACTCTGCTCTCCTCCCCACTGAAAGCTGATGTGTGTTAAGCGTTCTGGCGCACTATGGCTGCCGTCGCATCATCCAGGTGGATGCTGCACATTGGTGGTGGTGGAGGGTCCCCATTACCTGTAAAGCACTTTGAGTGGAGTGTCCAGAAAAGTGCTATTTAAGTGTAAGAAATTATTATTAATGCAGTTATTCGTGATGTGCTGATTGAGATATTGTCTTTTTATTTTAACTTAGGCGCCTGTACTGTAAGCAGAAGCCACAAAGTGTTGTGGGTCAGGAACAAAAACATCACACGATATCAAACACATATTACCAGCCTTCCTGTAGTCTGTGCATGCCCTCTGATGTATCATTTCCCATAGGTCTGCAGGAAGAAGACAGCCAGTGGATGACCCAAATAAACAGACTGCAGAAGCTTATTGACAGGTTAGAAAAGAAGGTAACAGGATCTCTTGTAATATCTGAACATGGATGTTAAATACCCATTGGTAGTTTGGAGTTTTGGAAAGTGGGGAGCTTCAAATGGTGCAACTGTAAGTGTAGTTGCTAATGAAAGGTGGCCATTCAGCCCATATAAACTGTTGGGTGGGTAGTAAGGGCTCTCTCAAATTCAAGGGACAAAGAAAGCCATTGGTCACCACTATGTTGTCAGTAAAACTGTTATTAAGACTGAGGTGTACACCCCACCCCATGGAATGATTACAATTCTAGAATAACTAAAGGGTCCAATGCTAAAAATAGTCAGCTAGTCCTCATGCATTTTTAAAGCAATTCAAGGGGTTAACCCACACTAAAGCTTCATAGAGATGTATCTAAATATAATAGATTCCAGAGGGGAGCTGTCTCAGTATGTGTTACCATTAAATTTAATTCCACGCTGCAAACGAGAAAGAAAGAACAATCACTGAATGGAGGCTTGGATTTTACACACTACTAACTACACTGGTGCTGAGAAGTGTCTTATTGTTCTGTTTTTGGTGATACAGTACCTCAAACAGTCTTTGGAAACCTCGCATCCATGATTGAGAAACACTACTGTAGGTAATTTAGAGATGTAATGATACTTGGTTTCTGAATGGCAGATTAGGTTCAGTTGGAAACCTGAAATGAGCTGTATTTGAATAAAACTTAATACTCTTTAGTTCATCACAGAACTGACGCATGTCCCTCACTTTTATTGTGAGAGTGCTGGTTTGGCTTCAGCTGAAGTGACTGTATTTGTGAGGTTTCTTTGCCCAAGCAAGTGAAAGTGTTTGTTTCTACAGGAACTAAAGCTTGAACCAGTGGAAGAAGAGGTTTCAGATGGAAGCACCAAATCTGTAAGTGATTCAATGTTATTTATAAAAGGAGCAAACTTTCAGAATACCATGACTGCCCTGTGTCAATGTAGCATCATCTTTCATTCTGAAATGTTCCTTTAGTATCTAAACTGGTGGTAAAGTTTTAGAAATCTAAGCGGTTTGTGAACCTAATGGCTTTCCATGTTGACAATGAAATTTCAGTTTAATAATCAATTTTAAACATGAACAAAGGTAAGAGCTGAGAAAAATATACTCCACATAACATATACTGTATAATAGTCAGGAGAATGTGCTCTTTAATAAGTTTGCTTAAAACAAAATGCATATCAGCATGATTTGTCAGTTCTAAAACCTTCATTTAAAAGTTTGTGCCAGAATACCTATTTTTATGGTGGGCCTCTGGGCCCGTTGTGAAAGTGCCCAGTACTACAAACATAGTCTAAAATGACATGTAAGATGTAAAACAGAACCTGAGAATAACAGCTAAACTATCTCTAGCAGTAGGTCTCATATATTAAAATGTGAAATGCTCACATTTATTTCACATCACTTTAATTTACTGCACCAAAATTAGAAAGCATTGCAACTTGGGTATTAGCCTTCCTGAAGTGCATCAGTATTAAGCTATGACTCAAAGTGTTACTGTAGCTTTATTGTGCATTGATGCGCTACAGAGGGGCAGTTGGACAGGACTTGTGTAAATGACCACTATCACTTGAAAAAAGAATATCTGCAAAGTAGAACATGCATGTTTAACATGGAAAACAAATAAAATAATGATCACAGAGCTGCTGGCCTCCTGTTACATACAAAATCTACTGCACAAAACTGGTTATGAGTCTCTAGCAAAGCACACTCAATTATCAGCTACTGCATATTCATGCAAAATGATATGACATTCCATCTTTATTTGCTATAAAAACCAGCAGATATCTGTAGAGCAATGGTATATCTACAGTATGTTTTCTATTCTCTTAGAACCCCCTTTCTAAACTGGATTTTTTTAGCTATAAAGAAGTGTAAAGAGCTTAAGTTGCTCAATGCGGTGTATTGAGATTAAAGATCTTTGTGTCAGGCCGAGGTCAGGACTCACTAATTAAGGTGTGACATTCCAGGCCTTGATTCTCCAAGCAGAAGCGCCTCTCTGATTGGCTTTCTTTGACTGGTGGCTCAGAAGTCACAATCAATATTGAACACTTTATTTTCTAAAAACTGAATCATTCATTTATTCTTCTGAGCTGGCTGTGAGATGCAGTAGTTTTATCAGACAGGCGTCACAAGAGTCCTTGTTGGCTTCTGCAAATCGTGCTTTGCCTGCGGAGGACAGCAGGATGCTGAATGGCAATGCCAATAAAAAGCAAGTTGTGTCCAGGGGTGTACCAGCATTGTTAAGACAATGGATGAAAAACTGAATTGGGAATTACTAAGCATTACACAAAAATCAAAGGCCTCTCGGTTTCTTTTTGTTTTTTCTTGTTTGAAAAGATAGAAAAAATCAAAGAGAAATTTCAGACATTTGTGTTCCAGTGCGAAACCTCATCTTGATTTTTCTCAGAACTTAACAGCAGGGCATCTATCTGTACCAAAGAACTGAAGCAGCAAGACTGGATAGAGAGGTGTAATAACCTTCTCTGAAACCATCTGCCCAGCAGCTGGAGTCCACCTTCTTTATGCTCTGTTGACTAATATCTTATGTCAGCCTACAGCCATCGTTGTTTTGCCACTACTGCATTATTGAAGAAAATGCTACAAAATACTACACGTTTGAAACTACCGCAAAATGCTGTGAGATGTTTTCCTGTTTTTTTTTAATTTGTGGTGGATGTTTTTATTTGCGCTGATGCGTTTCCAAGCGTTGCTGGGATCACACATTACTTCACTTCACAAGGTTATCTTCACTTGTGGCTGTGACTGGTGGCCTGACACCCTCCAAAAAAGTAGAGGAAGAATCCAGCACGTTGTTCGAATAAACCACAAAGTAAAGAAAGCTTGTGTCCATATGCATATGCTTTTTGTCCATTTTCAGGTCATGTTTGACATGAAAATGGCAGAAATCAAGAGACCTGTTACCAGAGATGCTCCTGAAGACCACTCTCAGGTTCTGTAGGGAGAGTTTATAGGATGTGGCAGCAGTGAAGAGCCTCTGGAGAGGTCGTTCTGGTCTGCAGGGAATGAGCCATCACTTTCTGTTCCCTTCTGGGGCTCCTTTCAAACTGGCTGGCACAAGTGAGATTAAAATATACTGCAGCAGCTGTGAAAGATACCTCAGTGAGAAATGTTTTGGATAAACACACTACTTAATGTGTAGACTGTATTCGTAACCCCCAACTAATTGATGATAATGCACCCTTAAAAGTGTACTTTGCCATTTTAAGATATTATTACTTTCTTTTTCTCTAGTTTTGTACGGCCTTGCATAGTACTTGTAGCTAGACAAAAAGGAGACTTTCTTATTGTCCTTCTCATGCTTTTAGATTAAGAAAATGGTTTTAGATAGATAGATACTTTATTGATCCCGTGAGATAAATTCCAGATTAATTTTATACTAATTGGAAAGTGTCCTCATCATGTGGAACAGATCTGCACAATGGTAATGCTCTTAATGGGGGTCACATTGTGACAAAAGATCATTAAGAGATTATTTAGGTACACAAGAAAAAAGGTTACAAAAGAGGAGAGAAGAGCTCCAAACGTTTATATGTCTCCCTTTTTTTGTTAAATTAAAAATTTAACAGACAATCTGTTAATAAAAAGGTGCCAAGTTTTGGTGCCGGATTCAGCACAGATGCAGAATAAATTAGCTTTATTTCCTGAGCACTTAACATACAGTTGTTCAGGGGTTATATTATATCACTCTACCATATTCACTTTTACACTGGTAATATTTGATTTATCAGAATTTGGTTGGACAAAGGAGTCAGCTTAAAAGATCTTTATAATATGATATTCACACATTATTACACTATACATTTCAAATTTGTTCTCCCCCACTTATCTGTTCAGTGATAATATACCAATACCCCTAGGAAGGTCTATTACTTATAAACATCCCTGTCAGCATAGTCACATTTCTACACATTAGGTTTGTTGATTACTTGATTCTTCAGCTACGTTTTGCTGTAGAGGCTTGCTGCGCATCCCCAATATTTAAGCTGAAAACTGGTCAGTTACTTAAATCCACTTCTGGATCTTCCCAGGGTCTGATTCATAATGAACATGTTGTTAGCCATTCAGTTAGCTTCAGTTTTGCAAAGGAAATAGCAAAACAGTGTCACACATGGAGATCCAGGTGGCCCCCACACTGTTGTGGAAATGTGGGTGTAATGAGACGGCCTCTCTGAACCGATCAGGCACAGACAAAGGCCACATCTGGCAATGGTACAGTAGTTTCCATCTCCACACTTTGAAAAGGAAAGAAAGCAAGATTATTGTGAAATTAACAAGTGTCAGAGAAGAGGAGAAACTGTATGCAAGTATGCAAATTCCCATCATGTAAGTGTAACTAAATCCAATACATTTTGCTTTGATCTTTTGAGATTTATATGTTACTAACAACCACAGTTACTATATCATCTAGAATAAGAAATGTAAATTCTAGTTTTTGCCTGATTTTTTTTCCCAGTGTATTCTCTTTATTTAAATAAAAGCTACAATGCCTTCAAAGTGTTGTAGCAGAGTACCAGATAACACTGCATAGCTGCCGTTTAACCCGGTATTACTGCAGATGTTAAGAATAGACCATTATTGAAAGAATGGTGCTGTTCAGTTCTATTTTAAACAATGATAGTGATATAAATAATAATAATTATTAATAGAAATAACTCAAATTCTTTTATCTTGGCTACTGATAACCAAATGAGTACAATGGGCTGAATGGTCTCTTCTCGTTTATAACACTTTCTTATATTCTTAGCACCTTTTTCGTAAGCTGATTTGCACTCAGCTAACAATGTAATAGTGTTATAGTTAAACATATGGATAGGTATTTGACTTATAAAGGCAAATATGACCTGTGATCAAAAGCTCTGCAGTGTTTAACACATTCAGGTAGAAAATGAGTGCGAGTGTACTAACCTTCCAGACAAAAAGAAGCTTCCCTTTCTAAAGAAAGGGAAGATCAGAATTAACAGAACAACTAAAGTGAAAATAATACTTCATGATTAAATATTGCAGCCATGGAACAGGGGTTAGTGTTCTGCTCAGTTCTGTAAATTGATAGATGTAGATTCACATCCCAGGTGGAAAACTGTTCTTTTTAATCTTGAACAAGGTACTTCAGCTAGATTGCTCCTGTAAATGCAAGATGCTCTCGACAAAAGCATCAGCCAGATAAATTAGTGATGATAATTAACAATGATGATGTTTAGCCCTTTTCAAATTTCACATTTCTATCTCTAATACCGAACCTATTACTGGGTAGACACATTAGTGCCTGGACTCTCCCATCCACTGTCTTAGAACATCTCTAACAAGCAGTACCAGAGGTACTATGGAAACCAATTCATGATTGAGGCAAATATGAAGCCTCTGTTGCTGACTTGCAAGCCTATTTTGAGTTCATATGAAGTTAAGCAAATGTGAGTACCAATGTGAGAGGGAAAATGATAAATAAAGCCATTATCTTTATTTGTAAAATTTCCTAAGCAATATGCAGTATAATACAGAACAGTTTCTCAATCTCAAATAGCAATCCAGTTTTTTTCCATTCTGCTCCCCGTCCCCGTATGTGATGGAACTATAATCTCAAATCCAGCCAACTGATGGGTGATCTGTCAATGCTGTATTTCCACACAAGCCAGAATCGTTTTGCAGTTCAAAGAACCTTCTTTTCCGCCGGCGAGCTGACGCTCACTCACCGACCTCTTCCGGAAGCGCTGGCGTGGAACAGATACTACATGTAGATGTTATTTGTTGAACAGGAGGTTATTGTGCTGCCGTTGGTAGGAAACCTTAACTGCCCCCGATCTGATTTCCGACACACAGCACATCCTGATCGTGCAGCGCCAGTTGTCAGTGCTGGAGGAAGAGCTTGAAGAGTTCCGCCTGGCCCTGAGACAGTACATCGAGTCCGCAACCTCGCAGACCGGCTGCCTGCAGTAAGTTGATACTCGCACGCCGTCTGATTCATTTCTTAATTCACCCCTGCAATTTCCAAAGACACCCCAAAAGTGGAATTCCTAAACTACAGTCAGGCAAAAATTGCTCTGTCACAAAGTTTGCTTTTATGGATTTTACACCGGATTTCTTGTCTTACTGAAACTGCTGTATTCATGTTTCTTTGTTTTAGAATTAAACCAGAAATTTGTTGTGAGGCATCATCATTTCACCTTAAACGGGTGCGATGTTGTAAATTCATTAGTCTAAAGTCATGGACAGAACATTTCTAAAGGCATAATCATAGTTACCAAGCCTTAGTCCACCTTTCACTTTTACACTGTAAGTCAGACATAACTGTGAGCACAAATTTAGAGTGGCGTGTAGCAATAACTGACCTTGTTCATGAATCAAAGGCTTGAAGCAGCCCCAAATCAAATTAAAAAAACAACTGTACCCATGTATTTCTATTTAGCTCTGTCTTCTCTATATTAGTTTAGATTATTGGAAATTACCACCTGGTAGCAGAGCTCTCAACAGTTGTACCTGGTGAAAAAAGATATTCTTTATTATATTAGAATTGTGTTTTATAGATGATTTTGTCATTTTGTTTTGCTTTTGTGTGTGGATTTTTTGAGCATGACAAAGTTACGGTTTAGATTGTAAGAAGCATACAGAACGTCATGAAATCTCAGATAAGTTGACCCTACATGGAATATCAAGAAATTCCTTCAAAAGACGACTCTTCTAAAGTGAATAAGATCCAAAAATATTAGAGATGTTTTTGTCAAGAGAAAATTAAAGGTTTAAATCATTAACTTCAGCTAAGATTCATTGAAGCTTGGTGTTGAATAAACTTTCCATTTTATTGTGGAGAACATTTTGATGCCTGTGTTGCCACCTTCTGTCTACCTATGACTACAGAAACAAACTGACATTTCTGGTGATAACTCATCTTTACGGACAGCAAATCTTTCATCTTGTTCCAAGAAACTGGAATTTATTTTTGTGTTATTAAATGTTAACTGAAAAACGTTTTTTTCTGAGGAAATTACTCGGAGGCATACATTAAACTCATTAACATTATGCTGCCTTTTTTAATAACAGATTGCTTTTATATTTGCAGCATTGCAGTACAAAAGCTTTCCAGTGAATCCCGTTTCATATTGTATGAGTTCTGGGAGCACAGCAATGTCTGGAAAAAGTAAGTGGGTTTGCTGGCTGGGGTTTATACTCAAGTGTATACTGAGTTTTCTATATTCACTCATTAACTGGGATGCTCAGAGGCTCAATTTGTAAAAACAGGCCAGTTAGTCAGTGTATAATGTGAGATCTTGTTCACAGAAAAAAAAATTCTCTTATCAATTTATATCTCACTCAGGGATTCCTCTCCTCATGTAGTTTTAATTACACCTCATTAAGTGTGTGCTATATAAGCAAATACAAGCAAATAAATACAGCACCATTCCTTCCTCATCTTCCTGCTGCCATTCCCTGACAATACACTGATGGCCAGTCTCTCAGTTCTATACAGTGTACTCTAAATGTCATCTTGTTGAACTCAGAAAGGAATTGCAACAATGACTTAATGGATACATAGATGCATTTGCATGTCTGCCTGAAGACCTTACTGTTCACCTTAGTGTGTGGGCATGTTAATTTAGCAATTAAGTTTGAATTGTTATTACAATCAAGCAGGTTGATGCCAAGAAAATAGAATTCATGCAAACACTGGTACCTGCTATTGGCATTGGCATTGCAACAATGACTTCCCAGCAGCCAATTAACCCATCTATATGGATTGTGGGAGGAAACCGAAGCACCCAGCAAAAACTCACATGATCATGGGGAGAACAAACTAGACGCAGAACTTTTCTCACTTTTTCTTGTGTTTACATTGCAGTCACCTTCAGACAAACTACAGCAAAACGTTCCAACGGAGTAATGTGGATTTCTTAGAGACTCCTGAGCTGATGACAACAATGCTTGTTCCAGGTGTGTCAAAAACTTAATGAAACATGTAACCCAAATAAAAGAACCGTGGATTATTCTTTTCTAGGGGATACAAAAGTAGCAGAAAACAGGATCGCCCACTAGGTCTTACCAATCAAACAATTAATACTATTAAAGGTTTATGATCCTGAAAATATTTTATATCAGAAAATATTATTTTACATTTAAATTCAAGAGTCCCTGAGCATGGATATTTTATAAAGTGCCTGTTTTGCTTTCTTTGACAGTAAAGAATACATTTCTCTGCCTTTGACTTGAGCATTGTTGTATTGTGCTGTAGTCGCTACAAAGATATTTTTTCCTCCAAGTCAGCAAAAGTGATCTGTGGATCTGTGAATTTTAAACCATTATTTCCATCTTTGAAGTCATCCACAATCCAGCATAGTTTAGAACTGTTTTTGCAGGAATACAGTCGGTCACATTAAGATACAGTATGACACTATTATTAGTTTCAGAATCAAAAGAAATAGGAGTCATAAAACAACATTCTTACTTAAAGGTTTATGTAATGCTACTACTGCCTCCAATAACAATGACATACTCTTTCTCCTGAAAGTAAAAATGTGTACTATATTAACAGAAAAATCCTGAGTTTACATTCTAAAAAAACATCAGGCTTTTTTCTGTTTATAATTTTTAATGATTTTGAACAAAAATTAGGATTTACTTAATTGTGTGGATAAGAACTACATGAGAAGTCGACACAAGAATGAACTTAAAAAAAACTTCTGCAGATGCCTATATACTGTACCTTGTGAAGTTACTGTATTTCAGTTCTGGGTGTGCTGAGCCATTCCGAATGGAGCAAGAAAATAACCCATTTCTGAGCCAACAGGTCACTTCTGTTGTAAGAATTTCTAGTTCACACTAGATCTAAAACAATTTTTATTTTTACACTATAGCACATAAACAGAAAATCGCACTGTGATTCAAACTCATTTTTGACTCGTTGTTTGCCTTCTCTAACCAGTATATACTGAATAGTCTTCCCTCTTTTCCAGCTTCATGGTGGGTTCTGAACAATAACTAAGAGCAAGCAAGTTCCAGTGTTAGGAGTCGTGCATTGAAGAATCATCAGTCTGCAGTGACATTGTAGTGGTAGTTTCTGTCATTAATAGCCAGACATTTGGAACTACACCTGTGCCAGTGTACTGTATACTGTAAATGAAATTATACCATCATCCCACTTTATGGTGTCAATTTGGAATGCACACTATTAGATGTTGTGTATTAAAATATAAGTAATGGGACTTCGGTGACCTTTCATGTACTACTCTTTGTCCTGAGTTAAATACCTGCACTTTACAATATTATGTTGAGTGTATTGTACGTATTTTGGAATAGTGTGAATACATCATACTGTATTTTCTCTGGGTGTTAACAAAAATGAATTTGAACATATTACTTGGTAAATATCTGTGAAAAGTTATGTAGACCAATTTATCCAACATTATATTCTATTTATCAGAAATTCATCCATAATAAATGTACTATTTGTTGACATTAATTTTATTTGTATCATTATTAAAATACTTTAAAAAATGTCCGTTTCTATCAAGAAAGATCAGACTACGTATAGAATAAAACACTAAAAGAGTACAATCCATATTTTGAGATGGAAGTTAGATGCATATTTTAAAAACAATAATAAAAAGCCAGCGTGTGTCTTGATTCAGCAATCTTTCCTTTGACATTACTTCTGCTGTCTAACCAGCCCTGTTTAAATGGTTAAAACAAGGTTTCCCAACTCTGGATGTGCTGCCCCAATCTGAGCTCTTTATGTGCAGTTCCTCAGACTGGAGGCCGCCTTTAACTCCTGCATTCCATAAGTAATTTAAGATCTCCAACTATTGAATAGAAAAGGCACATCTGCAAGGGATCCAATCAAGTGACTTGTTAGCTCACAGAAGATGAAGTAAAATTACCAGTTGTGGGCATCCTAAGGTCCAGGGCAGGGAACGCAGCTAAAACACAGTTTCGCATTGCTGGACACCAAAGAAGAACAGTTATTTTATTATAATAATAATTATTATTATAATTGCCTACACTTATATAGCACTTTTCTGGACACTCCACTCAAAGCGCTTTACAGGTAAATGGGGACTCCCCTCCACCACCAGTGTTACAGAGAAAGCTGGATTAGACTTCCATGTGAAAGATTAGTACTCCCAGGTTTACTATTGAACACAACATTGTGCATCTGTGTTCTTTTATTCCAGCAGCCCTATCTCACAGCAAATGATTTAAAGGTCCTATGGGTTCGTATGACAACGCTGGTCAAATTTAGGGAGCAGGTTGAATATCGGTCTCATTATGCTGTGTAATGACTCATTATCTTTTGTAAGTGATATCATTATGAGCTTAACTAATGAATGCATCTATGAACACAGTGGGGAGGCTCTCATCTGTTCTAGCAGATGATGATTACAGTACCTAAACAAGATACATATTTGATCCTTTTGAAAATTGGCTTTTCCACCCAATTAAAAATAAAAACAACAACAATTCAGTCATCAGAAGCTATCTTCTGTACATACAGTAAAGTCTGTAGAAAAACAGTCCATATGTTCCTCTGATGGCTGCTTAAAGTCATGCACACCTATGGGCATTAGCAAAAATGAACTACAAACAGGGTTTGTCCAAACTCTGTTCGGTGGTTTAAAATCTGAATTGTGGTGTGTTAAGTCAATGGGAGTTCCCACCACAGTCACTTAATTAAAAAGCTTGTTACATTTATTTCAGCAAGTTGGATTATATTTTTTTTCAATACCACTTGCTCTCCACCCACACCTCCTGTTATCTCCAGTAAATACAGTGTGTCCAGATTACGCCTGGCTTTAAATTCACCCAGGCGTAATCAATCAATAAAACTAGCATGAATAAGGTCATAAATGTAAAGTCATAACAGTAATTGGTTACTGATGCAATGGTAATAAATCTAAACCAGTAAATTAACTCCTTAAGCACATTAACACCAGGGATTTTAGAATTCTTGAAAATCATTTTGAATAACTGCATCTGAAAAATAAAAAATCTGTCGATACGAAACGGAGGAAAGAACGCTTTACTTCTTGTGTTTTGCAGCCACCTAGTGGAGATTTGATTCCCTTAAAAAGTGAATAAGCCCCACTTGTGATTTTGCCAATTCTGTTAACCGGATAAAAAAAAAAAAATCAAAAAAGAAAAAAAAAAGACAAAGCAAGATAAGGTTTTCTTTGGAAGATGAAGGGTGTGTTGGAAGCTGGACTGATGCTAGGAAGAATTTTTTGATAAAAGCTTTAGGAATGATTTAAGAATTTTCATCTGCAGTCTATTAATTATAAAAACAATTCATATTCCATGATAGGGGTATACAGTATTTTGTTTCCAATGGCAACCAACACTAACACTTAAAAAAAGGATATGGATAACAAGGAAAGTCTTAAGTGCTTATTAAAATGAGGGTTTATAAATACAGTCGTCCTGGGCAGAGTGGAGTGTTCCAGTTCCACATAACTAAAAAATGAGGGTTATGTAGCAAGGATAGTGAAGGGTACTGTACCCTTCCACTGCAAGAATGCTTTAGTTCTACTGAATGTGAAGGCTGCATCACAAAGAATACTGCTAAACACAGCAAACAGTATGAATCCCATAGATTTATTGAGTACATTTCCCACAAATGCTTAAAGCTTAACAATACTTTTTACCTCAGAGTGATCTTTACTACAGCTCCCTGCCTTTCAAGTAACTTTTTTTTTTACAAAGAATGAAAAGTAACAAATAATCTCTCATCATCTCTAATAATGAACCAATTATTATCTGCAAAAGCAAGAGATGACTACAAAGGAAAAATGGCTAAATCTCTAAAGCTAAGAAAGAATCAATGCATCTATGAAATTCAGCCATGAGCAAGGCTGACCGTACATCAGATTTCTCCAATCTTTTTCCACACCGGAATTTATCCTATTTATAAAAGTGCCTGCATCACCTAAGCAGCACATCGGACTGCCTGTTGTAAAAGAACTACTTGATATACTTATGTTTCTAAGTATTATTGTTTTTACATCACAAATACATTCTTGACAACAGTTGTTTGATCATCCATTTTTCTAGGTGAGAAATTAACAATTAAATGCAAACTTAATGATAAAATGAAACTTCCACTTGCTTAATTTTTTTTCTTACATCTGGGCTTCTTTAAGAATCTTCTGCACTGGCTGTGCACCAGAAGACATCAAGCAGGAAAAAATGCTTTAAACATAAATGCTTAGTTTTCAAAACTAAAGAAATGTTCCATTTTCGAATATTCTGCATGCACGTTTAACAGAGTACATCTGGAAATTAAGGTGCTTGAATTGCTTCCTCTAATAAGGAAAAAAAAAACTTTACTGTTGATTTCTGCTACGTCTTGTACAAAATGCCAGAAGTTGTAACACTATAATTATTCAGCAAAATCCACACATTTGTTCTGTCATCCCTACAATACAATTCACTGTGCTAAAATATACAAGTTAATTTTCTCAATGTTAATGAACTGCTAATAACGAAGAATGAAATCTCAAGAGCACATTGTAATGACTAGTATTTTTGTTAAAAAAACATGTTGAAAAACTGACTGGCAACTGTTAGGCACACAACAGTGGTATTATGATATAGAATCATGGATATAAAAAGACTCAGTCATAAAATGTTGCATTTTGTTTTAAATTAACCTGCCAATGCCCCAGTATGATGGCCATGGCGTGTGATACAGGAGGAGACTGAGGTCCTGACTACTTGGTCATTAAAGATCCTGACACTTTTTGAAAGAGTAGGGGTTAACCCAGTTTGTCAAAAGGAACTGGGATTTTATGTACTAGTACACTTTCAGCACAAATCCTTAGAGCTGTGCTTTTTAGAACACTCTGCTTATCACATGGCGTGTAGGGTAGGCATCCTCACACATTTCAGGAAGACATTCTTCCAATAAATCCTTATACTGTACAGTACCACCTGTCAAGGCAGGGACATTTTTCCCCACTCTTGTTCAAGAAGCCACACATTAATACAGCACGCTCCAAAGAAGTACATACACATCTCCTATGTACAGAGGAAGCGGTAGGATTTGTCTGCTTCAAAAGAGGTTGACCAGCTCTTCAGCCTGGAATAAACGATGATGTCGAGAAAAACCTATCACTGCAGGCAAAATCCTGCAATGACAGAAGAGGAAAAAAAAAGAGTGATGATATGGACTACAAGAGCATCCAAGCAGTTCTTGAGGGCTTCCCTTAAAGAGTTTTTTAGGCTACCTTGCCTGTATCACTATGAGCATATTCCCCTTCTTATAAAAGAACAGAAAAGCAGTTTGCAGTCACAAACATGTTCCAGAGCTAGAACAAAAATATATCAATTTGTAAACCAAAATGTCACAGCTACATAGTTCCTATGTACTGTATGTATATACCCAAACTACTTATTATAAAATCTGTACTTACACATCATTAATCATATAATCAGTGTACTGGGTAAAAGGCCTAGTCACGATACTCCCTCTGAAGAACAAGAATAAGGAATTAAAGAGTCACAATTCCAAACAATAACTACAGCATGGTCAAAAGCAAAATAGCTCAAGGAAAAATACAACCACTAAACATTTGCTACTAGAAATATTAGGTGAATCTGTAAAGTTTTCAAGCATTATGAAAGAATGAATATTAACTATGGGAATACACCCTACTGATGTATCATTAAGCTTACATATACAGGTGATGGCCACACAAAGATGTACATGATAAGAATAAACTACTAACAAGCGATTAACAAATAAGGATACATTTTTTAGCTCAAATGTATCCTGCTGAGCATGCCACAGAACTGAAGAAATGACTGAAAGAAGAAACTGAAATATTATGAAAGACAAAAGGCAAAATAAACAGTAATGCTCAGTGTTGTCAGAAAGGGATTGGAAACCAGTAAAGAAGAGCAGGTTGCTGCTGTAAGACCTGCTGGAGGACCTGTATGCAGTCCTTTGTCCTGTAGAGCAGAATTTCCACAAGCAATGCTCTTGTACACTGACTGAGGACACTGCTGTACACGACGCAACCTGTCGAATGACACATTAAACCGAGGTCCTGACTACTTGGGTCACGGAAGACTTCCCATCACACCGTTTGAAAGAGTATGGGTGAAAACACTGGTGTCCTGGATAAATTCCATTTTTGGCTTGTACAATTTGAGCTCCCAAAAGATTTCTGTTAACTCAATTTGTGAAGCACTTATCTCACTTCTCCACCTGATCTGCTTTGTAGCAGGGATACTGGGTTGCAGAAGGGCTGATCTGTGTCACCCAGGAGGGTCTCCTCTTATATGTGTACAGCATTCGGGGATTCTTTAGGGTGAAAAGCCCTACGTACAGCATATGCATTTAATTATTATTCTTATATTATTATGCAATATCATTCAAGTTATCATAACTAGCCTTCACTTAAAATGCCTGGAGGACTCAGATGATGGCAATGTTAGTGCCTGTTTCCAGGGGATGATGTGGAA